GTTAGTGTCTCAGTGTTTGTCAGGCCGATAAGGCGCTCCGGGCGCCGTCGCAGGTGCCCACCGCCTCCTCAGTGACATCGTCGGAGCTCCCCGCGACTCCTATTAGATAAGTGCGGAGTCGCCCTGCTTGTCCTTTGTCGTCGTGCATACATCGCTCAAGAAGGGTTTCTCAACACTTTCATACTAATTCTCACATTTAACTTATTCAGATTGATCACAATGGATTCCGAAGTCAAGTACCTTCTCTCCCTGCGCGCCATCCGGGAGCGCGCGAAGATCGTTGGGGATGTCGCCAAAGCTGGGAACTTGAGCCACTTTGAAGTTCATGAAGATAAGCTGGATGAGGTGGTCGATTTCGTGGCTTCAGTCATCAAGGTCGGGACTGATTCTTCATTCACTTCGAAACCTCGTACGGCAAGCCTAACATGAGCTCTTTAGCGCGACTACGGCCCGGACAAGTTCCATACAATCCCTCCTCATGGGCGTTGGCAACACTTTGAAGTCGGCAATGTGCCCCGCGTTACCAACATTATAGAAGAGTGGAAAGCAAGTGGAAGCGACGAGACCGAGGTCACCCGTCGTCTCATCGACCTATTTTTTGTGTCCGTGCTTTTGGATGCCGGGGCAGGTGATCATTGGCGATACAAGGAGCCCAAGACCGACCAGATTTATGAGCGCAGCGAGGGCATCGCCGTGGCTAGTCTCCACATGTTCAACGCCTTGGCCTACACAACATCAACAGACAAGGCCAACCCTATAGTCGATGGTAATCATTGCAACTCTTAATACAATATTGAAGACATGTGCTAACCACTATTACTCACAGGAAAGGGCCTGAAGCGCTTGGAGACAAGTGCACTAGCAGAGGGTTTCCAGGTTTCAGACAGCAACCCCATGCTGGGAGTTGACTCTCGCGCCGGTCTCCTTCGCAGCCTGGGAGAGTCACTTTTGGCCCATCCCGAAGTATTTGGAGCTGAAGGCCGCCCAGGCAACCTTGTCGGTGCGTTAGATGCTGCTGCCCCTGAAACCCTTTCTGCGTGCTAACGACGAGTAGACTATCTGGTGAAGTCTGCCAAAGGGTCCTCCAAGATTGATGTGCTCTATCTCTGGGACATTCTCCAGACTCTTTTGATTCCTGCTTGGCCCAAGGATCGCACAACTATTGGCGGAACACCCATCGGCGATGCCTGGCCGTTGAGTACGTTACGCAAGGGAGCAAAGGCCGGCAGTTCCGACTCCCCTGCGGCAGGCATTCAACCTTTCCACAAACTGACACAGTGGCTCACCTACTCCCTCATGGTTCCATTCCAACGGGTACTCGGTCTGGAGTGGGTCAATGCTGGCTCTCTCACGGCCTTGCCGGAGTACCGCAACGGCGGCCTGTTCGTCGATATGGGTGTTTTGGCCCTGAAGAAGGAGACACTGGACCGAGGCTTGAAAGCATCGGGTAGCGAGCTGCCAATGTTCGAGGCTGGTGACGATGTCATCGTGGAATGGAGGGCAATGACGTTGGTGCTGATCGATAGCCTCTATGGCAAGATTCAATCTCGCATGGGAGAGGGTGTCGAGCTGAGCATGGCACAGCTGCTCGAGGCAGGGACGTGGAAATCTGGGCGGGAGACGGCAGCAAAGTTCCGGCCGCAGACCAAGTCAAGCCCAATTCTCATCAAGAGCGATGGCACTGTATTCTAGAGCTGCATGGGACAATGGCGCATCAAGGAAGGGCGGTCTACTAAAAAAAGAGGGAGCAACCTCCAAGCTTGCTTAGTCTGGTAGAGAGACTAGTCGAACCCGCATACCCGTGATTCCAATTGCCGGAACATGCTTTCTTCTTCAATGCTAGTAGAAGGGGGGTGATTGGTCCTCGACGTGGACAAAGGAGGGGAAACCGGAAACCTGTGGCTTCTTTAGATTTGAAGATCGTCACCGTGGCGCGCACCGTCTCCAATAACCGTGGCGCTCCAATCCCCCAGATGGCTCAGCTTGGCTTCGTACCTTAGGCACGGTAGGTCAGCAACCAAAATAATATGATGCTACTGGATGCTTCTGATTATCCTTTGGGCATGCACCTTTTCCGTGATGCATCTTCTCTTCTGCTCGCCACGCTCGTACATGAGATCAAATTCCGTCCCAGCATGATACTGCCTATTCACGACCTTGTCTACTCATTACACGCGACAAATGCGGGGGACTTTGGATACCAGTCAACCTATGATGTTCCTTGTATCAGGGACGGCATCCGAGGAATCGGCTGCGGACTCGACAATCTGCACTGTCCATGTGACACAGACGGACAGGAGGCCATGACATTGGTTCTGATATCATGTCTGGCTGCACGCACGCCAGTAAACATGCCGAGTAAGTCTGACAACCAATTGGCATTTTCCTACGCCATCTGACAATTTGATCTCAACAGGAGCTCGAGGTGCTGTATCGTCAGCCTGTGCTCATGTAGCCAAGAGGAAAGGTCCAACCACAGGGCCATTGTCTACCTCCAGCATACCAAGAACCGTTGAAGTTGTCGTCGGACAGCATGTATCGGCAAGAAACGCTTCTGTGAGCCAGCAAGATCAACTTGGTGATACAGTATCAACGAAGAGCGGGATGTCGACTGGAGCTATAACAGGCATCGCCGTCGCAGTGGTTGCGGCCGTCCTCCTGATAGTAGCCTTGGTATACTTGGGACGCAAAAAGAGGAGGACCATTTTTGAAGAGGCTGGGTACGTCGGCGGGACTGCAACTGAGTTAACCGGGAAACGCAGTCCTATGCATGGGACAGGCACAGAAAGGACCATATCTCGAGAAGCACCATCGTCCGCTTACTAGCTCAAGAAATCTTGTGATGGGGTCGCTCAAAAGGACTTCCAGGACTGAAGGGTGTCTAAGTATATTGATGGGCCGGTTCCTCCACTTATGCCAATATTGATATGGGCGACTAGCAAAGGAATGAGGGCGGAATCGGTCCTGGAATCTTAAAACAGACCTGAGGACAAAGCAGATAATCAAATAATATTCAATGACCAGGTAAACTGCCAACCAGCACTCTGCCTTGCAGCTTTGATATAGGGGCTTAAGATGAGTCCAGTCAACCAAAACATAGACCGACAGCCTGACAGAAAAGCCGGATTATTGATGTCTATTAACAAGACATAGTTTTGCGCAAATCCTTTGAGGAAATGATACGACGTAGCAACCTATAAGCTGCAAGTCACGGACAAGACAAGAGACGTTAGAGCGCAATTCCAAAAATGATGCTATGACCGTGGCAGGGCTCGAACCTGCGACCTTCTCGGGATCAAGTGCACATACTTGTGAACGAGAAATCATAATCCACTAGAACACACAGCCGAATGGCGATGGTGGGTATACGGCCGTTCTGGGTCTAAGAAGCTGCAGGTCTCCGAAGTGGATAACTACTCGTGATCCGTCTTGGTGTTACGATCAAAAGAGAGGTTTATCATCGTCTACTTAACAAATAAAATGTGGGAAGAGGTTGAGAATACGTAGTATCGAACGTCAGAATTCTTGATGCTTGCTGGAGCGAGATGTGTGTCATTACGCACCATGCGTTATGTTACTTATGTACTTGTGACAACCTCATAAGTTGACTTTGTAGCTTCGAGAAATCGTTTGGTTCGACTGGTAATTCCTTGTGCGCGTGTTGAAAAAGAAGAGGATAGGAAATGTGAACTGCCTATGCCGTAGCGTGTGTGACAAAGTAGTCATCAAGGGCTTCCCTAATTAACCAGGTGTATTCTTATCCGAGTGACATATTCGCCTTTGAGACATATCAGTCTGTACAAGGCAGAAGAAACTTACAAAGTGCAGTAGAAGTTTAGCTCAACATTGAGTTGAAGGAATTAGAGATAGAGAGTTGCAGGCTCTAATCAAACTGAGAGCTTTCAGAGAAAGAATCCACTCGGGGCCCGGCTCCAGGTGTTGAGGTCAGATATGAGTGGTTGCAGCCAATACGAAAGACGTGACATCTCCCCATGCGATGCTGGCAAATTAATGAAGCGAACAGCCGATAAAGAAAAGCTGTGATGCCATTCTCGGCGATATTTCTGCCGATCAAGACGCGTCCGTGTAAGCTACTATTGTTTAAAGTCCTTAAGTCGAGGATTTCTCTTTCCTAGATCAATCCGCATACGTAGCTCCTTTACATCAATACGACTTGCAGCGTGCAACGATTTATTATTGTCAACTCGTTATGTGCCCAAGAGCTCTGATAGAACCAAGCACAGGATGTTGCTGTCTTGGAGCATCAAAGCTCCCATGCCAAACTCGACAACATGAATCAGAGAACCACATCAGAGAACGCTGACGAGATTTTGTCCAGTTAATTGACTGCACAATATAATTCTCCAGTAATATTAAGCTAATAGAGTCGGAAACGGATGTATCAATTTAACTTTCAGCCCTGTAGACCGCCAAGTACACAAAAAGCCGGATGAAGCCAATTTATGGCTATTGTTCCCACCTTTAATCGAGCGCTTTCGCGACTTTTGATTAGAGGGGGCAGATAGCCTCAGCGCACAGATCCGAGACCCCCATAGAAATTGCGGAACCCAGCAATCCTCATATTCATAAATCAGACTGGTTATTCATTCGGTCTTCGGCTTCCTCTCAGGGAATCCGCGTATCACACGGGCCCCCGACAACGTCTCGAAGTCCGCTCCCCGTACATTTCCACTTACGAGCAAATTTCGTATATGAGTGGTTTTGATTGAATGAAAGAAGTTATTCTTTTACGTACAATAAGTTTTGACTAGGATACTGTATGATACAATCTTATATAGGTTGATATAGAATAGCAAACCTTCGCAAAAGTTAGCCAACCTTTTTTTCCTCTTCAACTCAAACTACACGTCATTCATTAAGCTTTCACCATGTTTCCATACTTGTTTTCTTATCTAGCTATTCTTGCCACCGCCATTTTGACGACTCACGCCGCTCCGATGCCGGCATCGTGTCGTGCGACATCAAGTACTCTGGCCGGCATGGGCATGTGCTTCGAGCCCTCTGTGGGGTGCAACCCAGGCCAGAGGTTCGGAGAGTACATTGCGAGGAACATCCGGCACGAAAAGGGCATCTGCACGACGACAGTCGAGGTGAGTTGACTCTTAGACTTGGTATCGGATAGAATGCTAAGTCGTGGGACAGTTCACTTGCTGTACAAAGTGAGGTATTCACCAGGAGGATGACAGTACTGCTTGATGCAAGTATAATCTCTAGGGAATTCATGTACTGGTACGAGAGACCACTCAAGTGATACGGATGTACACACATTTGCTTGGGAATTCATTGAGGATGAATCAATTTCATCTCACTTTAAGTTTCTACTTGACATCCATCACATTCGTCCGGCATAGCCCATAGCAGATATGGTACCTGCGTCACTACCAGACAGTCACTACCAGTAATGAGATACCTCGACTTACGTGGCGCAATGGCATAAGTGGCGTCATTCATCACAACCTCTCGCCTGCTATTGTCCTCTAGCTCTAACAAGGAGGCACCCTTTAGGGTGATATAATTTTTGATGAAGCATTTGGACAAGGTTGCCGATATAATGCGTGGGTAGAACGCCACAAAACGCATATTTCCATTTCCATGTCCAATGACTTTGGTCGTCCTCTTATCGCGATGCAGTGTGATCCGTGTTCATTGGCTCTGCAGCCTCTGAACCCTGGTTGGTGGTGGCGATGCCCTGCTTCAGCTTCTAGCTCTATGCACCGGCGGTAAGGCGCATCCGGCGCGTGCCGTCAGCGCCTGCGGCTTGGGGTCAGCTCCCGCGGCTTCGCTTTCGTACGACCCTCCTTGATGGTATGTCAATCATGATATAGGTACCGCGAGTTCCCATAATCTTAGGGACGACTCTCCTAGACAGGTCCAAGACCCAGCCTGAAAACTCCAACTAAATCTTGCAAACATGCAATCTGCTATAACCACATCCACCCACGCTCATGATCTCCGCCGTCGCAGCCTATCCCCTCCTCTCACCTCCCTTCGCAGCAGCGGCCCCTCCCTCGTCCACGACTAACTGGGCTCCCGAACCAAACGGTCGCGGCACCTTTGGCCTAATCTGCTCCTGCGTGCTCACCCTCACGATATGCGTCTGGACGGCCCTCCACCTCAACGTCCCCGCCGCGCGCTCCACCCTTCGGAGCCGGTCGTTGGAGCGGACAAAGTGGGTCCTCTACGGCATCTTCGCGCCGGAGCTCGTGGTCGCCACAGCGGCGGCTCAGTATATTGTGGCAAGATGGCTCAAGAAAGAGATTGAAAAGGATGCTGCGGATCGGAAAGGGAGTACAGGTGCAGATGGAACACCTGCCGATAAGGAGGAGACCAGGACGTTTTCGAGGCATACGTGGGACATGACGCAGTGTTTTTACGCCGTGATGGGAGGGTTCGTCGTCAATATGCCTTCTGCCGAGGTCGAGACGGCGCTCAGGAGAGTAACGGTCACGCCGGAGGGTATCAGGCTCTTATCCTTCGTCGGAAAGCTGCCGCAGATTCACGAGTCGCAGATCCAGGATAAGAGCAAAGCGGATTGGATGGCCAAGTCGCTGGTGTGCATACAGGCCGGCTGGATGGTTGCCCAAGTCATCGGCCGCCTCATTAAGAAACTGCCCGTCTCGCTGCTCGAGATCAACACCTGCGGACACGTTGCTTGTGCTGCTATGCTTTATTTGCTATGGTGGAGCAAGCCCCTGGATGTGCTCGATCCCACTGTCCTGGACGAGGGGAACGAGGATGCCATGGCGTTGATGATGTTCTGCTCGTCGATGAGCGCCGTCAACGGCGTAACTGAGATCCGGTGCTTCATGTACATACCGCCCGAAGACGTGGGCACGGAAGGGGTCAGAAAGGAGAACAAGGACAAGATTCTCATCACGACCCATTTGTCCATCGGCTCACCTGGCACCAGGGAGCCCTCTAGGTTTCTCGGCTTCGACGTAAGTAACCTTCGTCCCTTGTCGTCGCCTGTGGACGTCGACATTCAGCGGAAAAGAGTATCCCGAACCGCATATATGTACCACATCGACCAGGCGAAACCGACGGTGTCCCCGGAATGCCAGCAGACATACTTCGCTTCGCCTTACACCCAGCTCAGTCTCCGACACGGTACGATCTATTGCCGAAGACTCTTTGCAGATGTCCAAAGACACGAGAAACCTCACATGCCCGTCAACCCAGCACGATTGGCACAAGCTGCGTTAGCCGCAGATTCTCTCTGGGCAGAATGCATTTCCCGCCCGACGTATGCTCAATTCTACTTTACCTCCGTGCCGACCGTTGGCGTGTTTCTCGGCGAGACGGATTACCTCGTCCCTTACATAGTCAACTTCCCGTCCATGTCGAACCTCGGGCTAGGCCAAGTCAACATCCACCGCGACGTCCTGCGGTCGGTCCTCGCTCTGACGGCAGCAGCATACGGCGGGCTTCACCTTGCGGGCTGGCTCGACCACTTTCCGACGACGATTGAGCGGACTCTCTGGCTGGCTGCGTCTTTGGTGATTACATCCTCGGGCGTGGTGCTGTGGATCTTCTTCCTCGCTCGACAGGTTTGGCCGCGGTTTGATATGTTCGTTTCTGGTGCGGCGCCAGGGGCGCAACTGGCAGGAACGACGTACCAGAAACCTTGGATGAAGAGAGCAAAGTCGTTTGTTCTTTGTTTTGTCCTGTTGCTGTTTGTTGTGGCGAGGGTATTCTTGGTTATTGAGGCGTTTATCAATCTGCGCGAGGCTCCTGCGTCGTTGTATGAGACCCCGGAGTGGTCTGATTTCTTTCCGCATTTCTAGTGAAAGAGGTGATGGATATTTGAAAGCTGCACGCTGTGATCAATATCGTTTCCCAGTCTTAGACCAAGTCGCATAGTTCAGATGGCAGGAAGAGATGGTAAATCTTGTATTGGAATAGGAAAATGGCGTATCGGCCAGTGGTGATGATCACGTCGTGTTGACCAAACGCCTACGTGCAATCGTTGGGTATCTTCTGATATCAATATAGATCTTCGGTCAACATAGGAAATACACTGCTAGTGGGCAGCAAAAGTGGGAGCAAAGAGAGTATCAGCGCATCAAGTCTTGAACTTCCACCCCTCAATAAGTCGCGCAAGTTTCATGTGACCTTTCTGTCTAGCGAGGCCTGCAGCAGTGCCTTGGCGATACTTCGCTTTCGTTTTATAGTCTTGAAGAGACTCGAAGACGGCGCTGGCATGAACCAACCTCGCGCCATGTTGTAACAACAGCTTCACTGTCGCGTACTGACCCTTGACAGCCGCATAATGCAGCGGTGTTGCGCCGTGGTGATCGCGCTCACGAACATCTAGTCCAAGGTCTATCAGAAGCTTTATCATTGCGGGATGCGCTGTGGCAAAGAACATCAGGTTCGCCCCTGACATTGATCGAGCTCTGAGGTACGCTCCGGCGGCGAGGAGAAGTCGCACAGTGTCGAGGTGCCCTGCCCTCGCGGCAGCGAAGAGTGGGGTGAATCCTGGCCAGGTCCGAGTATCGAGGTCGACGCCCGTACTGATCATCGTCGCAAGCACGTCGTTCTGTCCGTAGTGTGCTGCAAGATGTAGCGGCGTCATGCTGGAGTTTCGCAACAACGGGGTTGTGAGGTCTGCACCACCTCGGATGAGGGCGATTGCAATTCGCGTGTTGCCGGCCTTGAGAGCTTGGCATATGATTCTCTCTGCTCCAGGAGCGGAGTGGTCTACCTCAGCACCGACCTCGATCAGAAATTGAGCAGCCTCGAAGCATCCCAAGTGCATCGCGATGGTGAGAGGCGTCTCTCCATGTTCTGTCGTTGGGTCAATCTGTGACCCAGCTCTAAAGAGAAGTTGCAGCACCTCGACTCGATTCTTATGGGCTGCCATGTGCATGGATAGGTACCCCTCGCTACCGGTAGCATCAAAATTGGCACCACGAGAGAGGAGAAGCTTCATGGTGCGTAAGTCCCCGGCTGAGGCAGCCGCGAGCAACGGAAAGTTGCCCTTCGAGCTCGGCAAGTTAACGTCGGCCCCGGCCCCTATCAGCACCTCAGCGATATCCGGACAAGCTGTAGATATTGCGTACGTCAAGGCGGTGTGCTCATTGACACGTCGGTCGAGGTAGGCGCCCTGATCTGATAGGAACTCCGTCATCGGGCTGCTTCTCATAGATATGGCGACATGGAGCGCTGTTCTGCCATTTTGTAGTCGGGCTTCCAGGTCCGCACCATATTCGAGAAGCTTTTCGATAGCGTTGAAGCGGTAATTTTGAACAGCCGCTATAAGAGGCGTTCGTGTTCCCAAATCCCTGCGGTCAACCTCGCCCCCAGCGCGGATGAGCACCTCCAAGGTGTCATCGTCTTTGGCTGACATGGCGGCGTAGTGGACTGGCGAGCACCCCAGCGTATCGACGGCATTCACATCTGCACCGAGTTCGCACAATAGTGAGACGACCTTCTCGGAGTATCCATACTTGATTGCCGTGATCAAGATTGTGTCGCCCTCGTCTCCTCTACTCTCGAGATCTGCTCCGGCGATAGCTATGAAAGTTACTAGAGATGGAATTTGGCGATTCAAAGCTCGACGAAGAGGGCAAAGTTTCGAGCCAAAGCGAGGCGCATTCGGATCGATGCGCTGTAACAGGAGCTTTACCACGGCGGCTTCGTCTCCACGATCGATTGCATCGTGTAAGTCTTTCGTTGTTCTCATGCTCTGCTTGAATAGTATGCCCGGCGGTGGCCTGAGTCTCTTCAAAGCCGAACGAACTTCGAAGGAATCATTGACGGGGGTGGTTTCTGCCTCTGGCCTTGGTCGCGGACCGATGGTAGATAGACGCAGTCGACTACCTTTGTTGAGTACTGCCGGGCTGATCGCACAATCCCATGACACTAGGCGGGATGAGTGCATGAATGTGGAGTGGTTTTTGGATGTCACATGTTCGCTGTCTTGGTGAGCAACGTCCGCGCAACTGGTCCGAGTTTGACATACCTTGGAACACAATTAAGAAGAAATGTAAGAGATTGACGGTTGGTCTTGAGCTGGCGTTGAATTTGCCTGAGAGAGTCTTCGTTCCAAATGATGGTAATTTGTCCCGAGGACATGTCGACAGCACTATCGCTCGTCGCCGGGCGAATTCGCGTACTGTAGAAGTCGAGAGACGACAAGTCTGTGTTGATCGAGTCCAAGGCATCCTGGCAGGATTGGTCTAGAAGGACTGGATCGAAAACGAGGGTTTCCGGTATCGTTTCGCGCAGGTACTTGAATCGTCGGAGAGCATCTGTCACGGCGCGACATTCTTTGGCGAGATCAGACAGCGTCACCGGTGCCGTATTGAGGCTATTGGCAACAGTACTGTACCGATCGGTAAGAAGCTGTGATGTGCGTATCAGGTCGGCCAGGCTGGTGCCGGACTGGCGTCCCGGGGAGTCCATGACCGGTCACCTTAGCAGGTGAACATTTCTATGCGGATTTCCATCAAGATCGGAGAACAGACCCGTCGGTCTTCGAAGTCGGGAGGAAATGCCCTCTTTTAGGTTGGATCAGAAGAGGGATGATGGGGAAACATGTCGCGGGGCCAGGGAACCGAATCTGGCAACGGCCCATTCCTTCAGCAAACCAGTACCAAACGGTTCGCGCCCGATACGGTATTTGGGGCGATGCTAGCCAGGGGAGACTATTGAGTGCAATTTGGCGAGATGAAGAACAGGCGAGCCCAGAAATCCGGGAGCTTGTCAGGGCATGGTGGTCACGCTAGGACAACGACCCCTCGGGAAGATTGTTCAAGAATCGCATCATTGAGGACGGATAGAATGTAGGTTGGTTGGAACCACGAAAACACGAAAGTCGAAACACGCCAGGCTCATTGCTTGAGGCGGTTATATTGAGATCAGCCGGGAGATGATGGCCGGCTCGTCGTGGAGGTGGAAACAGCACTTGATTCCCACGGCTCCATATTGGTAGGGTTGCAAAGGACAAACCTTGACATGCGCTAGACGTGGGTAGGGATAACTGCATCGTCGTCCGTGTGTTTCCCAGGGGTCTGGATAGCATCCGTGGGTTGATTCACCTTGAAGCCAGAAGACGCGGTTGACACTTGTCAGAAAGCACCGTGGCGAATCCAAGACTGATTTCGCGGGGTTGAAGATTGCTATTTATTGCGTGGCTTCTCGAACTATCGAAATCTGACAGGGCGCTAAAGAGCAATGTCTGCGTGGCTTTGAAGCAGAATGTCTTGACTCTTGGTGCTGGGTCTGAGCGGGCACACGTGGGCGGGAGGTCGAGAAGTGGGAGTCTGGGAGAGACAGAGAGACACAGAGACAAACCAACGACGAAGAAAGTTGATCCCTGAATTCCCACATACCTGGAAGCTTGGACCATATCGTGTTGTGGATACGTTTCCGTGAAGCTCAGGCCATCCGTTCCGCGCCGAGGATCTTCCGCTCTGACTCCCCCAAGACCGGCCTGAATGATTCGATGATTCGAGGTGGGTCATCAAACGTAGAAATGATTGGTCTATCACCGGCACCCAGTCGGAGCTCTTCCAAAGTTCCCGTCCTCAGGAATACGTACCCCTAGATGTCCCCAAGCTTCCACTCAAGCTTAGGTACCTACGGCTTTCCGTCGACGTAATCGAGTTTGCGGTGGTCACCACATAATAACCAAGTCTTTGGAGATTTTTGATCCCTATACGTGCTGAGCAGGGACACCTGAAATTGCTATCCTCCGAACCAAGCGTATTTTCACAACAATATCCACGCTGGCGAACATACTCTGGAAGAAAGAGTCGTCATCCGCGACGACCGGCGCAGTCCCCTCCAACCCCCCGACTGGCGACATCATGACCCAACCGCCGGCCCAACCCCACCTTACACCACAGTTCTGCTTCTCGACAGGAGCTCTGAGGGGTAAGCTGGACCATGTTCGTGAACTGCTAGATGATCGACACTAATGTGTTTCTGAAGACTTTCTAAGGCTGTCTCGTGCCACGGTCGACGACTCCATCACTCAAAACCTCAATGCGCTTGTAACACCCGCGCGGGCCGGCTTCGACCCTACCTCGACCTCACAACGAACACCGCGTTCCTTCCCTCGACAGATAGACCCGCAAGCATGTCAGAACTTCAAGGACCAGGTGCTCTTCCCGACATGGCATGCGCGAGCTGAAGTCCTGCACTATTGCGGAGTGGTTGCGACAAGTCCAGACCCAGACGATCCGGAGGTTCTGTTACGGCAGATTGAGGCTGCAAAGGACAAGGAACGAGTTGTCAACGAACGCTTGGATCCATACTCTGGACGGTTCTTCCCTCGTGAGCCTCGGACGGAGCAACTCGCGATGCTTATTCGGCAAGAGAAGGGCGTGGAGAACATTGTGCGGACAAGAACGTGGGATATGGTCAAACAGCGATGCGGGGAGTCGGCTAATTCGTGGGAGGAGGCTCTTGCGGGTTGGCGCTCAAGAGCTGCTGGGAAAGTCGATGGCTTGTAGGCCCTAGACTGCATCCTTCTCAGTGGCTGTACCATTATTGTATAAATGTCCACCACGTATTGTACCAACCTTGTAACATAACGCCACATGAACAACGATAGATATAAACAAAATAAACACCAAAGTAATATCAAGCCATTTGAAGCTCGGCCGAGAAAGAAAATATGTTAGAGCAGCAAAGGCCGCAGAGAACGAGAACTCTTGCGCCCCATGACCCTAAAGATCATTGGAACTCTGGGTGCTCCGAGGCATCTCATCATGTCCCAGAGTTTGAAGCATAGGGAAGCGTCGTGTTCTAGCTTTCCATGATCATTCACTTGGCAACGGTGGGCATTCACAGATCAGTTGTGTTGGTGAGATTTGTCCAACAAGAAGTTTACCATAAATCCCGCGGTCTTTCATGGAGGTTGTCAGTTTTCTAGTCTTCTTCAACTATTCAATGCGTCACGAATCATGGCATGCATCAGTATTGTAAGGGAACACGGAGATGTACACAATCCCTTTTCCAGGGCCTTGGTTGACCGTCCCCCACCAAAACGGCGGATTGGCCGTCACTGAGCGGGACGTGCGCAGAGCATGCGGCCACTGGTGGTGCGATTTTGATGCGGTGAAAACGGACCTAATGGGACCGGACTCATTTTGCCCCGCCGAAAGCCCGCCGTCCCGCCAAACGGTGAGGTCCAGTTATGGTACGGACACCGTGGTGGCGGTCGCTGCAGGGCGAAGACGGCGCACTGAGCCCCAAAGAGGGCAGCCAGCTCAGCCTTGGAACATGTGTGTGGCCAGAGTCTTCCATCCAGAATCCCACCCGTTTACGTCGAAACCTTTGTGAATACTTGCAGCTCCGTCCGTGGACTCGCACACGACCAATCTTCGACTTTCCACCCCACGCTCTCGAAAAGATACGAGTCCTCGGTCCCCGACACAACCGACCTCTACTCTTTGTATCTTATCCGCCTTCCACTTTGTTTCTAGCCAGTAGCTCGGTTCCGTGATACGACTGCAGCTAGCTACCCCTCCTTGACCTCCGAGGACCCCTCCAGACACACTGCTGCGGACCAGCCTTCCGAAGAGTTTGCATCTCTAGCGACTTTTTGGGATAGTTTCAGCCTTGAAAAAGTCGCTTCCTCCTCGACGACTCGGTCTCCTTTTCTTCGCAGTGCCGGCGATTCGATCCCCGGCCCCTTACCGATCCGATGCCGCAACCTCTTAATTCGAAAGAGGCTTCCCTCTTTCGCGCCGTCATCCGCGCCTATGAGGACAAGCAGTACAAGCGCGGTCTCAAGTCCGCCGACCTCATCCTCAAGAAGAACCCCAAACATGGGGACACAATGGCCATGAAGGCCCTGATCATGAATGCGCAGGGTAAGACAGAGGAGGCTTTTGCTCTGGGCAAGGAGGCTTTGACGGTGGACATGAAGTCGCACATCTGCTGGCACGTCTACGGTCTGCTGTACCGCGCCAACAAGAACTTCGAGGAGGCTATCAAGGCGTACAAGTTCGCTCTGAAGCTCGAGCCCGAGTCAACGCAGATCCAGCGCGATCTTGCCATTCTTCAGGTGCAGATGCGCGATTATGCCGGATACATCTCAAGCCGCACTGCCATGCTGCAGGCCCGTCCCCAGCTGCGCCAGAGCTGGACTGCGCTGGCTATCGCTCACCACTTGTCAGGTGACCTGTCCGCCGCCGAGAACGTCCTTACCACCTACGAGGGAACGCTCAAGTCCACGCCCTCCCGTAGCGACTACGAGAACTCCGAAGCCGTCATGTACAAGAACACCATCATTGCCGAGCAGGGCGACTACCAGAGAGCCCTCGAGCATCTTGAGAGTGCCGCTAAGCATAATCTTGATAGGCTCGAGTATTTGGAGCTGCGCGCCAAGTACCTGGTCAAGCTGGGCAAGAAGGAGGAGGCTATTGCCGCATGGCAGGCTCTTGTTGAGCGCAACGCTGACCGTCCTGCTTACTTTGAGGGTCTGGAAAGCGCCCACGCCTTTTCTGACAGTGATGCGGCTGCTAGGAAGGAAATTTATGAGAAGTACGCCAAGAAGTTTCCCCGCTCAGATGCTCCTCGCCGCCTACCCCTGAACTTCTTGTCTGGTAAGTGTTCGTTCATGTCTTTGTACTCACAGGTGCTAACTCGGGCAGGTGATGACTTCAGTGCTGCGGCAAAGGAGTACTTGACGCTCATGTTCAACAAGGGTGTTCCGTCGACTTTCGCTAACCTGAAGCACTTGTACTCCGACTCTGCCAAGAAGGAGGCCCTCGAAGCCCTCGCCCAGGACTACCTCAAGTCGAGCTCAAACACGGAAGCAACCAACGGCGATCGCTCAAAGGGAGAGGCCGCAGCTCTGTACTTCCTTGCCCAACACTATAATTACCACCTCAGCCGCGATCTCACGAAGGCTCACGAGTACGTCGACAAGGCAATCGAGAAGGTCCCCGACAGCGTCGACTTCACCATGACCAAGGCTAGGATATGGAAGCATCAGGGCAACCTCCAAAAGGCATCTGAGACTATGGACAAGGCACGCACTTTGGATACCCGCGATCGTTACATCAACACCAAGGCAGCCAAGTATCAGCTGCGCAATAACGAGACTGAGCAGGCGTTGAAGACTGTGGGCCTCTTTACTAGGGCAGACACCGTCGGTGGCCCTCTCGCGGATCTCCTGGATATGCAATGCGTCTGGTTCCTTACCGAGGATGGTGAGGCGTATGCTCGCCAGGGTGATGATGCCTTGGCCCTCAAGCGCTTCCACACGGTTCACAACATCTTCGACGTCTGGCAAGAAGACCAGTTCGATTTCCACAGCTTTTCCCTGAGAAAGGGCCAGATTCGTGCCTACGTAGATATGGTCCGTTGGGAGGATCACCTTAGAGATCACCCCTTCTACTCACGAGCCGCTTTGGACGCCGTCGCCATTTACCTCAGGAGAGCCGACCGCCCCGCAGCGAACGGCGTCAACGGTGACGCAAACGGCGACGATGCCTCTGAGAGAAAGAAGGCTGCGAAGAAGGCCAAGAAGGAGCAACAGCGCCTGGAGAGGGAGGCGGCCGATCGTACGGCGAAGCAAGATCCTAATAAGGGCAAGCCCGCCAGCGAAGAGCCCAAGAAGAAGGACGAGGACCCTCTCGGTCTGAAGCTTTTGGAGGCCGAGCCCCTCAGCGCGGCGATGCGATTCGTCACCCCTCTTCTGCAATTCAGCCCGCAAAACATCAACGCCCAATTCGCCGGTTTCGATGTTTATCTGCGCCGAAGTAAGTTTGACCATGGCGACACTACCCTTTTGAATAGTACTAACAAGTTTAAAGAGAAGTACGTTCTTGCGCTGCGTTCTCTCAACGCCGCCCGCGCACTTGATGCTTCGCACCCCGGTGTCCACGAGCGCGTTGTCGAGTTTGCTCACGTTGTACGCCCGGCACTCGAGAGCTTGCCCGCAAAGGTGCAAGAACTAATCAAGTCCGAGTTCACTCCCCCTGCCGGTGACTTGAAGAAGTACAACGAAGAGTTCCTCTCGGACAACAAGGCCAAGCCCACTCACATCGTCGCGGCCCTGAAGACACGGAGAGTGCTTGGAGAAGACAGCGCCAAGGCCGAGGCCGACCTTGCGAACGTCGTCAAGGCTCCCGATGCCACCTTTGAGCTTGCCACTGAGGTGTACAACCTCTTGAAGGCGTGGAGGAGCACTGAGGCGGAGACACTCAAGAAGGAGGCGCACGCGAGGTGGCCTGAAGTAAGCCTCTTTGCCTAGGAGCGCAAGCCCCCGCCTTTGTCGCCAATTCGGAGGATATGGAACCAGCTCAGGCGGAAATAAAGGCAGGGTTGCCGGTTTCAATATTGCGATTTGTGCAGCCAGATACCCGAACAGTGGGAAAGCGTTTCCAAACGGTAATGGGCGGATTTGTTCCCTCGGTGATTTGGAAGCCAAGGCTGGGTAAAGGGCCGGGCTATGGACGCGTGCTTCGTTGCGGCATTTGTCGAAATCAAGGACATAGTTGCATCATCAAAAGTTGTGATAGAAGAGAGAAGGCTACAAAAAAAAGCGTACGAGACTCTAGATTTCGTCTGAGTAGCAGCAACCTTTTTTTGCGTGATACATTTCGTGTTGAGGCCGTGATGTTCCATTTCCTTGCTTTCCTTTTTGTCTTGGCTGACCCCTGTCATCACACTTTTTGTCCTCATGGTCTAGCACTCTTTATCTACACAACCTCTACTGACTGAAGCCGTTCGTGACGTCGACGAACGCCTTCCACTGCTTCCAGGCCTCACCGCTCTTGACAGCCCAGCGCGCCCTCCGCACACCCTCCTTCCAGCGACCCCCGCCAGGGCCCCTTTCGGTAATCACCTGGCCGTCGTCGCCGGGGCCCATGTTGCTCGTCTCGGCCTCGCAGATACCCGACGTGACAAACAGCGTCGCGGCGTTCATCAGCACAAATTCGAGAATGGGGTCGTCGTCAGCCATCTCACCCGCCAGTATCCTCCTCAGAATCTCGGCATTCTCAGCCGGCTCTTTCCCGGGGGATACAGTGTTGAGGGGGTGTGTTCCCAAGCCGAAATCGCTCGGCTGCACCTTGAAGTGATCCGCTACCACTTCACCGTCCGCCGCCTCACTGAGTCTCCAGACCAGCGTCGGACCCGCGCAGCTGACTTCGTCCAGCTCCTCCTCGCCGCAAATGATCATGGCCTTTTTCGAACCGCTAATCTTGAGGGCCTCGAGGAAGACGGGGCCCAGCTCCTTCCTCGCTACACCGATGACACGGGCCTCGAGGATATCCTCGACGGGGTTCGCCAAGGGACCGAGGAGGTTGAAGATTGTCCTCCAGGGGAGTTCTTTGCGGATGGGCGCGACGTAGCGCATGCCCGGGTGGAAGACGGGGGCGAAGAGGAAGCCGTAGTTTGTGGCGGCGTAGACTTGTGAGATTGTCTCTGGGGAGACGGCCATGAGGACGGGCGGGCGGGGCTGCATGTTGTTGACGAGGTCCGCGGAGCCGGACTTCGAGGTGCTGGCGCGGTTGCCGTGCTTGGCCACCAAGAGGAGGGAGGAGGCGAGGATGGAGGCGGTGGTGCTGATGTTGAATGTGTTGTGGGCGTCGCCTCCCGTGCCAACGATGTCGCACAGTCCGCCGGCGTAGGTGCCCGCGCCGAGAGCCTTTTGCTTGACCACGCGAGAGAGATCGTCAAAGTCGACCTTGGCGGCGGCGCGGCGCATGTAGTGTGCGGAGCGGGCCATTACGTCGGCGCGGCGGTCGAGGTTGGTGAAGTGCAGGGCGATGAGGAGGGAGGCGGCCTGGGTGTCGGAGACCTGGTGGGTGAAGAAGTGGGAGATGGCCTCGGCGATCTCGTCGGCGCTCACGGCGAGGCCGGCGTCCGGGACGGGCCAGAGTTTCTTGAGCAGCGGTTTGATGTCGATGAGCGGGAGGGCGGCGTCGGACCCCGCGACCGGAGGTTGTGAGGCCATGGCGGGGTTGATTTTTTGTGAGGACTTTGGTTTTGTTACTGGATTTTGACAAGTTGGGATGTCGAAGACTGCTGTGATAAGGTCAGATGAGATCAATTGACTTGCATAGGGGTGTCCTTACTTATGAATTGAGTCACTGAGAGAGCAATAAGATGTGAGTCAAAGAGGCCCTTGAACAATGAGAGGTTGTTCAATGTGAGAACCCAAAGTCAATCAATGTGAGCAATCCGCTATCTGGAGCGGTACCGAGGTACGTACTACGTATCTTCCTGCTAATTGAGCGAAAGAGGTTACGGCCCACAGCTGATTGGTCAACTATTGCCTGATTTAGACGACACGGGGGAAGCTCATTGGGTGTGCGTTCAACTGGGCTACAGTGCTGTCGCCAATAAGGGAATCTCCGCTCCCGCTACGTTGGAGGGGAAGTATGTACGTAGTAAAGTATGGGTAAAGTGGAAGCTTAGGTAAGGCAGGGGGAAGTTGTATTATCCGCAATTTAACAGGCATTTTGGTAGAATCTGGTGATGACAGACGATGAATGCCATTCTCTTTACGCGTAGGTTTTCGATACGTGCCCGGCGTGGAGGGTTGGAATTCACCATCGCGCGGATTGCGGTACGTACTTACTCATGTCTGACTTGCCTGACTAAAAGGCAATAAAGGCATTGTACGGCTGTGCCCCTGTTTGCTTTCTATTGTCTGCCCAGCCAAGCTTGCGACTTCTCTCTCCTTCTTATCAAATTACTTTCGGCCAACGTAATGCAAAGAGGCGTTTGGACTTGCAGCATGAGGAACGCGCAGCCCGCTCGCCCATCGTCTGATGAATGGTTCACCAAGGCATACGACTTTCTCTTGCAACGCACGACCACTGTTTCCGCCCTGGATTGAGGAGCCATGACATCAGCAGCTTTATACCAGTTGCTTCCAGAGAACGAAACGAACGCCAGCGCAGCCAAGGCGGGAGAGTCGGGCATCGCGCAAGCTGTTCCGCCGGTGTCCTACGGTCGTCCGGTACCTGACAGACTGACAGTGAGTGGTCGGCTTACTCACACCACCAAGACGAATGGACAGACGTGTCGCATTGTTGGCGTCCATTTCCCCTCAAGCCACTCCTAGATAAGGTGTTTGGTCCGGCCCTGGCCTGCTGTACCTACCTCGATTGGGATGTCTACATCACCTCCCGTCACCTGTCCAGCCCGACTTTACGGGGAGTTACATCCCCAAAGGCACCTCACATGCCAACCTCACAATGCCTCCCAAGCCTGAACATCTCGGTTTCCATCGACGCCCTCTCCTCGAATGGTTGCATCTATCCGTACCTACGGTTGCATCACGAGTGTGATGTGCGTCCGGGGGAGCACCTCCGCCGTGGTCAGGCGGCCGCTACGGGCGCCGCGGGCCCCTGGGTAACGGCTTCGGTACCTAAAGTGCTAAGTACCTTAACTCGTGGCCAGCTACAGCGCGCATCCGTGCCATGCAATTCTCATGGTGCCAGGTTCCTTGGTGTTGCGCGTGCTTGCTTACCTTATCGTATTTCTGCTATCAATGCCCACCACATTAGGGAGGTACAAGAGATGCAACGTAGGTATGATTGAAAAGCAAGTAGTGCCCTATCCGAACCAAGTGCAACTGAAGTTCAATCTCCGATTCATCCGTGCTGCCGCTGCCGGTGGGTGACCGTGCCATCCTTCCTGCAGCAGCAGAACAGCGTCGGCTTGGATGTTTTGTACTCTTGTAACTTTCTTTCCTGTTGCTTGTCGCTTGTTGCTCCCCCCTGGGTATCGCTTCAATTCTCTGCTTGGACCTACAGCTCCTCAGTAAAGGTACCTTACTGCATACACCAGCACAACTAGCACCAAAGTTCGATTTCCCTTCCTGGACTTCAATCCTCTCCCTCGTCGACGACGGGCCTCGGGACGTGCGCTTAGCCTCCGACTAACCCAACTCCCTTTCAACTATTCCTATTCCGCTTGCGCCAACGCCTCTCTTCCCAAGTTCCTCCTACGGCTTGGTACAACGGCGCAGTAATAATTCACCTTTATTCTCTTCTTCTCTTCTCTTCCCTCCCGCAACCCCCGGGAGCTCGTGACCACCCCATCAACAGCAGCCGCTGTAGCGTCCGTTACCAACAACTAGTCAACGACTGACTACCATGTCTCGTCGCGACATCTGCTAGTACTGACCGATCTCCTTTTGCATCTTCATCACCTTCGCTCGCCTATAACTCTGTCTCTCGCCTGACGTGAACGGCCTGTTCCGCCAGCTTCTGCTCGTCTGTCGCTTAATCAACCTTTGCACACTTCGCGATGGCCACCCTCGCAGGGGAACACAATACGGCCCCGAACGGGACCGAGTCCATCTCCGAGTCTTCCCAATCCTACGGCAAGCCCGCCTCTAGAAACGGCCCACCAGAGACGATCAAGGTCGACGGCAACAAATCTTTGACTCAAACGTCGGAGAATCTCCTTCTGAATGGTGTGTGGGAACCTGCAATATACCTACCTTGTGGCGATGCGCTCGGGTAGCTGACCCCTTTTCAAAGACCCAACAGCGAACAAAGCCAACCGGACTTGCGGTTTTGCTGGGTTTGGCGCATCAGGTCCGTTGTCATTGACCTCCGTGGCCCCCATTCCCAGCTTGCTAACACTAGTCCGCAAAATGCAGCACCCTCGACGCAAACCGTCCCCTTGTACAACGTCCTCTGGGCCGACCAGACGGGAGAGACCCTCACAATCGACTACGCGAAACAAGCCGGCAAGCAACGAGTACAGGCAGCGAAATGGACTTTTACGGTTAACGACACGGAGAGCCCGGATGTCAAGTCCTGGATCGATACCCTCATGAGAAAGGCATATGGCCCGGCGAAACTATGCAAGAGAGCAAAGGTCTTGGTTAACCCGCATGCCGGACCGGGAGGCGCGGAAAAGAAGTGGCGCGTAGACGTCGAGCCTCTGTTCAAGGCGGCGCGCATGCCCATGGACGTGGAGCACACCACCTACTCAGGCCAAGCTCTTGAAATAGCGCGGGAAGTCGACGTGGACGCGTTCGACACGATTGTCACCTGCTCTGGTGATGGTTTGGCCCACGAGGTATTCAATGGTCTGGGTCAGCGGCCCGATGCGTCGCAAGCGCTACACAAGATTGCTGTCTCGCACATTCCCTGCGGCTCGGGCAATGCGATGAGCTGCAATCTCTACGACTCGTATCGACCGTCGATCTGCGCTCTTGCCATCATCAAGGGAGTTGAGACCCCAATGGATCTGGTCAGCATCACACAGGGCGACCGACGCACCCTCAGTTTCTTGAGTCAGGCCCTTGGCGTAGTGGCCGAGAGCGACCTGGCTACCGAGCACTTGCGGTGGATGGGCGGCGCGCGCTTCACCTGGGGCTTCTTGGTTAGAATATTCGAAAAGAAGTGCTACCCCTGCGACTTGGCTGTCAAGGTCGAGATCGAGGACAAAGCGGGCGTCAAGAAGCACTACAAGGAGTACATGCGCAGCGCGTCGGTAACACATTCGGGCGCTAGCGAGCCTCCGAGAGCGGAGAATGCTGATGCTGTTTCGAGTCCTTTCGGTGACCAGGAGGGACTGCCGCCTTTGAGATTCGGCACCATCAACGATGCTCTGCCAGACGGATGGGAACTGATACCCCATGACAAGATGGGCAACTTTTATTGCGGAAATGTAAGTACACTGCCTCACCTTTCTTGGTGTCTGACTGGACATGCCCGCCTCTTGGATATTGTCCCCCGAAAGAACTACGTACTGACCACCCCAGATGGCATACATGGCCGCCGACGCCAACTTCTTCGCCGCTGCTCTCGCCAATGATGGTCTGATGGACCTTGTCTGCATAGACGGAGACATGTCAGTCGGCGCCCAACTGAGCATGCTAATGTCTGTGGAGAATGGAAAATTCTTTGACAACTCTTTGGTATCGTACCGCAAGATTTCCGCCTACAGGATCATTCCAAAGAACCAGAAAGACGGCTACATCAGCATCGACGGTGAAAAGGTGCCCTTTGAGCCCTTCCAGGCCGAGATTCACCACGGTCTGGGGAGGGTCATTTCGAAGCGTGGCAAGTACGAAGCCCCCGGTCCCTTGGGCTGGGAGAAGATGTCCCTACCCTAAGAGATCGCCCCAGATCTGCGCAGTGAAGGGAGACGAAATGCTGTCACCGGCTGTGATTGAGTTCGAGACGGCCAACCAAGATATGGCACAACGGCCTTTTGGCCGCAAACGAAGGAAGCGGAAGCGGAGTAGGGAGCAGTGATTTGTTTCTTCAAAAGTCGAGATACCCAGATAGAACAAGACGAAGACGGGAATAGTACAGCCATCGTCGGGCCGGGCTGGAAGAGCAGGCGGCCAGGATGGCGAAAAGGACAGCCATTGGATATCACTGTATACTATAGAGTACAGCGTTGCACATAATACCTGATTTCTCTTTTTGGTTCCCACCACCGCTTCCCATGGAACAGAAACCCACGCGGAATCCTTCCATCAAAAATGACATGCCTCCCTTTCTTTTTGTAAAATCCAACCAACGCCGTGTTCACCATCCCATGCAAAGACACGAAGCCAAGGGGAGTGCTAAACCCCCTCTATTGATCGTCAATGCCGCCCCATTCATCATCATCCCCATCTGCCGCCTCCGCCTCCTCGGTAGCCTTGTTCTCCGTCCACGGCAGCCTCTCGTCCTCAACCACGACCGCGGCCTTGGCTCGCACAGTCTTGACGGGTGACTTCCTCAACGGCTCAACAAGCTGGCTCAGCTTCTTGGCAAACGCCACCGCCTTGGCGTCCTTCTCCTCGAGCATCTCCAACCGATCCAGCTCGTCAACCCAGATATCAAGCCCGTGAAGCCGCAGCCCGATCGGCACCTTTCTCAAGTCGCCCTCGAGCTCAAACGGCCACTCGCCATACACCTTCAGCAACGCATCCACCCTCGCTTCCTGGTACTCGCCCTCCTTCACCCACTGAAGTCCCGAAGTAAACGTGCGTCTGACGAGGAGGAGGAACTTCTCCATGCGGAGGACGTCAATGTCCGTCCACTGCTTGGAGAGGATCTCCCAGAAGGCGGCGAGCCAGGTGGGCACGTCGTCGTTGCGGAGGCAGGCTGTCAGGCCGGCGAGCTCGGAGGCGAGGTTTTGTTGCGGGATGGGGCGGTCGCACATCCACATTGCGTAGAAGAGGCCCTTCCAGAGCTTGAGGGCTTCGAGGTGGGAGAGGGCGCGGTGGGAGCCGAGGAAGGTTTGGAGGGAGGTCAGGGCTTGGGTTCGGAGTTTGCGGTCTACGGGGGCACGAGGGAGTTAGTTGAAGTTGCTCTGGGGGTTTGGCTTGGAAGATTGGGAGGTTCGCGACGGCAGGTTCGGGACCGAAGATTGCGATGCGACGGGGGACGAACCGCTGGAGGCCAGGTTCCTGATGAACGGCATGTTCTGTTCTTGAGACGCCATCTTGGCTGAGTTTGTGGGGTGGCTGAGCCGGGGGAGGGTAGCTCAATTGCGAGTGTCGCGGGTCCTTGGAGTTGCGACGGGTAGGACTGTCGTTCTATGCACCGTCGGCGATGGGACTTGCGAGGCAGGGTGGGATGGGTTTCTCGAATAAAATTGTTGTTCACCGAGAAACTGCCCCGCCGATCCTCGGTGTACGAGGGTCCCGGGGTAACTCGATCGGGTGACCGCCTTTGAAGAGGTGGGGCCAACAGTATGCAGGGGAAAGGCGTGGCGTGTGGCGGTACCAGTCTGGATTGTTCGGTGGTGTGGCTGTGTATTTGACGACGGGAGCCCCAGACAAGGTACGACCTATTGATACCATGAATAGATATTCAGAAATTCAAGATGCTATGAGATGGAGCGTCACAGAGAATCAAGAACTCTCTCCGATGATTCGGTATTCAGTCAATTGCCGGCCAGTATGTTTATTACTTCGCCAAACGAGTAGCCTTCATTCCAGAAACATCAGCCCAAGCCAAGTCCAAGCCAGAACATGGTCAAACTCCTTGTGCTGTCAGGTTTCCATCGTAGACCACCATCCAGGTCTCATTCCAAGATCCAAACATCCGTTATGTCATGCTGCGCTCCCGATCGTAGCCGATCGAAAGAGAAGGGGAGGGAACCCCCGAAGCTCTCATAATTCTGTCAACCTTCTTGCGAACATCCTCCAATTGAGCAAGAAGCTCCTTATTCTTGGCCACAGCCTCATCCAATTGACTTTGCTGTTCCGCCACCTCCTGTGTCTTCTGGAAGAGCTGTGCCTGCAAAGTCACCAGCTCATGCTGCGACTGCTGAATAACGGTGTCCTTGCGCTCACTCTCCTTTCGGTAGTAATCAATGTGGCCGTAGTACTCCTGAGCCTGGGCGTAGCTCGTGTGCGCCACATCGTAAGAGACCGAGATCTTGCTGTGAAGCTCGGAAACTTCGCGCTTGTTGGCTTGGGCGATCTTGTTGGCGCGGATCTGGAAGTGGGCTAGCTCGGAGAGGGCTTCTTCGCGGGAGGTAATGAGGATGGCGATGAGGTCTTTGCCTTCAAGTCTGCGCTCCGTGGCCTTTTCCTCGTCGTCGGCCATGAGTTGCTTGAAGAGCTTTTCGTGTTCTTTCTCGTCGTATTGGACGAACTATGTGTATTTGCGCGTTGTCAGTGCTCGCTTAGGTTTGAGAAACAGCTCGGGCAGGTAAGGCGATCATCTCAATGGGGATGTTTCCGCGAGGAACCCCGGGAGCTTGAAAACCAGGCGTGAAACTAACCTTGAGACCATTGTAGGTCGAGGTGTTGTTGTCGACCATTGTAGTGCCGGAAGAAGCCACGAAATTGGTTGCCTGTGAGGATCGGTCTGAAGAAGATCGGATAATAGCTCGCTGCGCTCGTCTGATCGGTAAGAAGTGGCAAACGTATCGGCCTTGCGAAATATTCTTCGCCAGAAAGAACCCTGAAGTATGGGGTTTGGTGCAATTACTCGTACTGGTCGTATATATGGCTGGGGCGTGGTTCTGCTTTGAGGTTGTTGATGTCCGAGATGGACACGAAGTGCTACAAACTTCGTGGTGCATGTGGAGGGAAGTGTGACTACGTAGAGAAGAGTCATTAAACCGAAGAAAGTTGTAACACCCTATAAACTGGAATCGGACCGTATTCCGAAGGACTGTCCTGAAAGTATTTGCCATCCACACAGTCCACATCAGTCCGAAGAGTGGTGGGATTTCCGCAAATCCTAATGGACAAAAAGCAATCTTGCAATAAGGACGAAGGCTCTCGGGGACTCCCTATCTAAATCAACCAATACAAGCACGTATCCCTTGGATGAAGCCACGAAAGCCCTCGGGGCGATAGACTGCCTTCTGCAGCAAAAGGCTTAGAGCAATTGAGCCCAGAAGACACCAACTTACCCTCGTTGCCTAGACGAGTTTGTTGCCTTCTCAAGGCATGATACACTGGAAAACATGGCCGTAGGGGAAAGGAAGATATGAATTTCAATCGGGTACTCAGGGAAACATCGTGGGCCATGACGGATTGTAGAACGACTTTCCTGCTAGATGCTATGTCTTTGCATCAGCCAACAATGCAAGATAGGTACCTTCACATGTGCGCCATGTCACTAACTGATTCACGATCTTATTGCTGAGGCTCTTCGACCTTTCTCTGACTGTCTCAATGTATCACTTGTATCGGTTATCTCCTGTTTGCGAGTGAAACAATCCCGGCCTGACTACTGAACTATGTAGATAATGGCGGGATACTTGAGGTTCCCATCGGCTCCATCTCTATTGGGAGCTGCGCGAAGCACTACCTCTGAGGTGAGGAGGGCACGCCGTCATGAGATGAGCCACTTTGGCCTGCTCGGCAGCGAGAGCCCTTTTCAGATCTCTGACCTCGTCCTGATGGCGCTCGTTGTTGCGGTCAATCGACAGACCAGCGGTGCGAATCGCATCCTCGGCGCGTCTATTGCAGCTGTCCCGCAACATTGCCAGCTCCGCAAGGTGCGTGTCGACCAAAGCCTTCATGGTTTGCTTGTGTTCCTTCTGGAGCTTCTCACATTCGCTGTTGGAGTCAACAACAACGAAGTCGTCTTCGGTGTCAGAAGTCTGTAGTCTTTGTTAGTGCTGACCTGCAGGTATCAAAAGGTGCTTGGCCTTACCATGACTGCCATGCTGCTGCTCATAGAAGAAGTGCCGTGAGACATTGCGATTGAGGAGTTGTGTATTGTTCGTGTGGTGATCAAGTGATTCTATTCAAGATTGTCAGATTGTTTCCCCAGTAATAACGTAGAAAAAAAAGGCTCTACATGAACATGCCTTCTTAACAGAGGCGTGCTCTTGGGCCCGTGAAAAAGGCAAGTTGTGTGGTGAATAGGACTTGAGAGACGAATGCAAAAAGTCTGGAAAGCTTGTGTGCGGTAAGGAGAGAAAGCGGATTGGAAGAAAAGAGCCAGGGAGAGGAATCTTTATACTTTTTGAAAGGTGAAGTTGGTGATGGGGGCATTCCAGGACAAGGACCCACCTCCAACGTTGTCCTGATCGGGATACAGCAGTGAAAGGGGAAGGTAGGTCATCTTTCTAATTAGGGGTCAGCGGTGAACAGCATTGCGTCTTTCATGAGAGAACGAACGTGAATCACGTTTTCCAGAAGGCATTCAGGGGTGCGTATGTGTCCTTCGAGTGGCTGAATGCCTTCATTGTAGCCCATGGGAGACTCCATGAATAACCAACATGCCTTAGTAAAGGCTCAAGAGAGATTTGAAGGAGATACCAAGAGGCATGATGATGAGAACTGAAGGGGCTAGTGGTACTATCTGACAGATTTGCTGGTATGGACGAACAAACCCGACACAAACCCGATAGCAAGAATTCCTGAGCGTAATGATGGTATAACTATATACACGAGTGCCAGCTAAGTTTTACAGTGGACTTGATCCCCAAGTGTTTTGATTTACGGCCATCTTCATCTATGAAAATGGCAGATCTCATGTCACACTTGCCATATATAGCTGATGATCAAGGCTGCTGTGCGGTAGGCTCTGTTGTCACCTGCGTGTAGTGTAACAGACCGATTGATTATGAAAACGTTTCTTGTTCGAAATTCCATAATGTAATTGTTTGGCGCCGTTGAGCCTCCCTGAGATTGCTTCAATTAGG